CACAAGAGGAACAGCGTCCGGTACTATTTTTGAAAAGCGCCCGAACCACTATTTTGCTAATTCTTGTCACCTCAATGGGAATATGCAGCAATATTAGCTTCTATAGGGAGCAAATGGACCTTCCAAATCCAAAAATACAATCAGATTTCAAAAATTTAAATTTTGATTTTTCGAATTTCTGCCGCCGACTGTGACCTTGCCGACTTCCGGCGCTCCCAACGCGCCATTTTTAGAGCTAGGGAAACGAAATACATACCAAACGATAGAGAATTGATCAAGGAACACGATAGTGAAGGTTTCAAGTCGATATCTCCCACCGTTTTGCCGCAATCGCCGCGGAAAGTTGAAAAAAGTCTATTTTTCCGAAAATTTGACCTTTGACCGGTCAAAAGTAGGTCAAATGTTGACCTAGGACCAAAAAATATACCACCAATCGCGAGATCTCGGCGAGAGCAATCCGTTGGTCTTTTCCGCTAAGCTCTACGACGCTCCGTTTTCAAACGCCAAGGGGGGGGTCGCACCAACCCCCCCCCCCTGCATGGGCGAAGGTGGCAGATCGCCGTTTACGGGCGAGGGTTAACGGAGATCCTGAAGGAGGTCAATATTTAGCTGAGTATTACAAGGCTACTTTTTTATTAACTACCAAAGTTTCGGTTATTTTGGTCGTTTTTCGTAACTTTGTTTTCGACTTGATTGCCGAAAACCGTTGATTTTATTGTGCGTCACGCGCGATGAAGACAACTGCTTCCGGTGAATCCGTCAGCAAAAATGATTGACCCACAAACATACCGTGTTCGGATTGGAATGTTTTATGTCCGGTCAACCAAGAAATCGCGGCAGGTTAGGTCCTTTGGTCAAGACTCAGTGGCTCTTGGACTTGCCTTAATCCTCACTCTCCTAGTGATTGGAGGCGTGGAACGGAACCCCGGTCCTGACTTTGTGGATGAAGGTGTCCCAGGACCATCATTCTCGGGAGTGACACTGATGGACGTGATGGAGGCCATTCGCCTAACCCACCTTCAGCTAGACCATCTATCTAGCAAGGTGGACGATTTGACCAGAATGATGTCTGAAGGAAGTCATTACACTACGATTGCGCCAAGCCCAACGGTAAAACACACTACAGTGGATCGCATAGTGGGCTCTGCAGCTCGTACTTCACCTGATACGACGCTGAATGACCGAACGACTTCCGATCACATCAAGGCGCTTGAAGCTCACGATAAGCTTGACTCTAGCGGGATACCGGGGTCGCATATGACCCGCGGCTCCAGCTGGACGCCAGGTACTGTAGTGCCGCCCGCGGTCACGGCTCCAGTGACCTCTGCCTCTGTATCGTCCTGCTACACCAGCTCTGAAGCTAGGGGAGGCGTCACTTCCTCCAGAAGACGCAGCAGCCGTAGCAGCAGCCCGGTTCCGCACACCGAGGCAGTCTTGCTAGGCTGTCAAAACGTTCGTCGCATCGCCGCAGCAGCCAGGGACGAATTTCTTTTGGGCAGTGAAGCTGTGTTCGAGAGCATCCGTGGAGGAACTGTGCGCTGTGCCCTGGGAGCGCTGAGCAGCGCGGTGGCTAGCTGCAGGGCCGTCAGTGTCGACCTAGTCCTGCACATCGGACTTCGGAGGCAACGACTTGGCACGCCGGACACATTGCCCCAACAGACGGTAAATAACTTTTGAAAATACCAATTTCCAATTTTAGTGTTTTCTGGACCAAAATTTTGCGAGGAATCCGATGGTGTGGTCCCCGAAATCTGAAAAATTTCCATTTTGGAGATAGCACCTATTTTTTGAAAAATAAATATTCGTCAGGCTTAACCCGCGAGTTGCTGGGGGGGGGGCGTTAAACGCCCCCACTTTTTTCGCCGGGCCATAGCATAAAAACGGCGCGCCGCAGGCGCGCCAAATTTCGGGTACCTGTAGAGAATTCATTGAAGTTTATTGTGACAAAGTTTCAAAAAAATCGATCGGAAAATTTTTGAGATATCGAGGTTTTAGTGACGTCATGATTTCTGAGTTTCCGACCAAAAACGGCATATGTTCAAAAAATCATATAAAATCACAGAATAGACATACAGACACGCCGTAAACGCCATTAGACTGCCAATACCATGAACAATCAAATGGCTATCTTCGATTATTGATTATCGTTCCGCATTTTCCAAAATCTTGAACTGAATCTCGGCAATTTCTCGTGACTACTTCACCACCATGATACATGCATTTTTTAAATTTAACTTTTTGAGCCAAACACGTACACATATGATAAAATGAATGTCACCATCGTGTTCTACGCCCCAAATTACCCTTAAAACATGTGTCACAGGCTGCGAATATCAGTTTTGATTTTCGGGGATATTTGCCTACCCGGTTGACCTGACCTTGACCCTGACCTATCCTTGACTGACCTCTACATGGAGCTGACACTCTTGTAGGCCTTATATGATGGATTGTGCACCGTTTTGACAGAGTTTATGACGAGAGGCGCCAATTGCGAAGTCCTGAAGTCCATGCTACTGAAAGCCCTATTTCAGGTGTTTGACCTGACCTTAACCCTCGCCGGCCGAGGGGGGGGGGGCGGGTGCCGCCCCCCCCCCATAGGGTTTTTTCGCGATAGCTCCGAACACGCTGGCGATAGAGAGCTGAAACTTGGCATACCTGATCTTTGATCCAAGCCGGATCTTTTGACACCAACCGCATTTTTGGGTCAGGTCAGGTCACTGACCTATGACGTCATAAGTGAACCTCTGCACGGTCTTCAGATGTCTCAACTTCGCAACGCCCTCACTGCCAGAGGAGATGTCACAGGGAAATGAAACTTGCAGGATCTAGTATCCATTCCCAGCCAGCAATTCGGTTGGGGAAAGTGCGGGGACAGTGTTGGGGAAAGCTTGGGGAGAACGTACAATTCCCCTATCGGATCGGGGAACGGTCCGTGTTCCCCTTCCCTTCCCCGACTGTATCGGTAATATGTTCAAAAGACATGGGGAAATCACACCGATCCCCGTACGGGGAAAGAGCAGCATTCCCCAATCAAACCCCACTGTTGGGGTTCGGTCGGGTAAAAGATCAGATTCCCCGTACGGGGAAGGGTGCGTTATCCCCGACCCATTTTCAAGAACAGTTTGATTGGGGAAAAGTAGGGGAACTGTTGAAATTCCCCGCTCGGGATTATACACTTAATCCCCAGACGAATCCCAACCGCCAGTAGGACGTCTTGAGATCGACTTCCAGCATGTAATATTCAATAAAGAAAAATTGAATCTTGGGAATGTCAAAAGCAGTCTAAGGAGCAGTTCTAGAGCTATAGGCTCATGCATCGATTGAAGGGAGATATAATAAATAAAAAATATAACGATATAACGATTTTTTATAATTGTTTTCATGACAGGTGATCTGGCGAATGCAGCAAACAGTGACCAAATTTGCACCAAATCTCTTTTTCATATCTTCATATCATATAGGTACCTATTTATTTCAGTGTTTTAATCGAAAATAATGTCTGATAATTTTATCAAATCGGCACCGTATCTGGACCAAATGTCTACCAATTGTGTACCAGTTACCTATCATGAAAACGGTTATTCGCAGACATTTGATTGTAGACATTGGATCTATGTAATTTTCGACCTAAAAGAGAGGAAAAGCCGTCTTGGTTTACGGGGCCTGCTAAGCCGTGTGGATGAGGACACGCATACATACGCCATTACTTTGAACGAACGTTGGTGCCCTTATTTCATGAGGTAAAAACAACTTTGACAACTTTCAGGATCTATGTTTCTTCTCGCACTGCTGTGGCATAAACATTACGTTTTCTTTCTTCTGTCATCACTCATCGCATTGAAATTACAAAAGCATCAAAATTTCAACAACACACTGCTTACGACTTAGAAGTGTCGCCTCAACGCAGCGAGGGGAGGGGAGGGAGGGGTAGCAACGGCCGGCCGCCGTCGGTTCCGTCCGCACATCTGGTTGAGGGGCGTCTCCTGTCGCCATCTGTCATCGTGAATGGGGCCGTGCTGACGCGTCAGACGGGACGAACGGGGGAAGTCGGTCCAGAGTCACTGCGCCGCGCGGTTGTGTGAGCAAGCCGTGGGCTAGGTACCGCTCCAGGTCAGACAATGGTTGGCACTGAAGAGTGCGGTGACACTACAGAGCTGTGAACGAAGACGGTGAACGGCGAGATGTGGTGACCGCTTGACTGACCTGTGCCCAAAGTCGTGATCTACCGCTGGGGTCAGTGCGTGAGAAGCTGGACTCGGCAACGACGGAGGACGCAGATGGACGAGGAAGATATGCTGTGTTGGCACTTAATTGTAACGAATCATGATAGATATAAAATGACGATGATACTAACTCAAATTTATTGTAAAAGACAAAGCTTCCGATACACACAATATCTTGATCACTGTCTAGGGTATGCAGAATATGACGTAAAAATGACTGAGGTCATCAACCTCCGTCTGAGATTATCCTTAAAGGGACCCTCCCACCTTAACATTAGATTTGAGTTGAGATAGCCAAAATGGGGTCCCTGGCTCACAATTACCGGTTTCGGCACTCACAACATCGAGAAATGCCTTAAATCGGAAATATTGAATTTCAAAATTGCAGCATTTTGATTCAGAGGGGCTAATGCATAGGAATACCCCTCTGAATGTGTGACGTCAGCGCAGATATCTAACGATTTTTAAATGTTTGACTAAAACGTTTTGTAGCACGCGGTGGTATATGCTGCGTTGCGCGCAACAAATGCTGCACTTTTAAATAAAGTCGCTAGGAACAGCGGAGATCCCAAAAAGTAAACAAAAGTAAAAGTCTAATATCTTGAAAACCGGTGAATATTTTTCGGTGAAATTTGGTAGATATTCGTTTTCGCTCTTTCTGAACCGAGCGACATCACTTTCATGCCAATTCATAAACTTTTTTGAAGGTGGGAGGGTCCCTTTAAATTGCCCGGACAATATAATGTCATCAGCCTAAGGCTTTATCTGCTTCTGTTCTAGAGGGACGTCTGCCGGTTACGACCGGAAGGCTTCCGACGGACTTGGCAGAACCCACAACAGCAGTATGAACCCGGCGTGGAGTTAATGCGTAATTGCTCGCATGAGCAACCGAAGAGCGACTTCCAGGCGAAGCTGGTAAGCAGTTTATGGGGGTGGGGGTTAGCTTAGAGCTGTTGAACAACCTGTCCTTCACCCAAGTCTAAAGGCTGAGATACACTCTTTCTACAGCCAGAAAATCTCATGCGAGAGCCCATTAATTAAATACATGAAATCACGATCGCTTACAGGGATGTGCGAACGATTGACGCGATTGTAATAAATACATGTATTTGAATAGGCTTTCGCATTCCATTTTTTTTTTTTTTGTCTTCGGAAAGAGCCTGTTTCAGCAGCTCTACTAGACAGCTCTGTTTGTGAAAGGAACTTCATTGTTATCTTGATAAACTAGCAACCGATTTTAATTGTCAAACGGCGTTCATTTATCTGTCAAGTGCTTTCGCGAGGAACTTCGTAAGGCGTAATATAGACGTAAAACATTTATTACCTAATGACTTTCCTGGAATGAGAAATGTTTAGAAGTACAAATTTAATTATTGAATTTTTATTTCCTTTTTTAATTAACTATTCAAAGTATATCACATTCATTTTTAAGCACTTTTCGTGGGAAAAAGCTATAAATAAGTGTAATTTCATAAAATGGCATTCAACATGTTTTAGCGTAAGCTGAAGTTTCCATAAAAGGACATTTCATGTAGTAGCTAGCTGTAAAACCTGATTGATATACCTACAAGTGCACATTTTTTGTTTTTGTCCACAGCCGCAGAATTCCTGGAGATGCGCTGGGACATGGATCATAGCAAGGTGGCTCTCAGCGGCAGCTGACCGCTGAGATGTGTCTGAAACAGCCAGAAGGAAGACTCGAGTTGTGGATCCAGGGCACTACTGAACGGAAGGCCGGACCAGCTGTAGGGAGACTACAGAAAAGCCGTCGTTCTCAATCTGCTGAACAGACTCCTACTGCAGAGGATCAACTGGGGTTCGACGTGTTAGAACTGGGGTTAGACCGGTTACCAGTGCTCGTGTTCGTCACCTGTTGTTTGTCACTGCTGCGCTGCTGCTGTAATGTTTGCCACCTGCTAAGCGTTCACAATGTATTTTAAGTGAATAATAACTTTTTTAGTGTTTGTCTTGATTTGTAACGAGTATATCAATTATCAAGCATGTTAACCTTTCATCAAATGAAGGAATCCACATAAAAATAGTATAGGCTGTGGTGGTACAGACACATACCATGCTTGGCCGACTGTTGTGTATTGATCTAGTCGTTGAAGCGTCCTGAAAGTCTGGAAATAAACAGGCATGGCCAAATGGATTGGTTCTAATTATTTTCCTGTGTGGTTTTATCGTTTCTCTATTGCGGGGAAACAAGTGGACAATTTTGTTTGTATGTAAACAAGTATGTTTATACAAATATTTGTATGTTTACAGACAAAATAAATAGTCATTGTCAATTTTAATGGGACCCGATTTGTTTCCCAGTGCGGTTTATTACTGGCTTCTCCGTACGGGGAAAAAAGCAGACAAGGCATTAGGGCCATTGCCAAGTCGGGGAACGGCCGGGGCTCGCGCGGGGAAAAGGTCTGGGAACGTTAGGGGAAAATCACGGTTTCCCCGATCGGGGAAGGTCTCCAGCAAGTATAAACCCGTATAGCCGGGTGGGGGAATGTGCGGGGCTCGCACAGGATCTTCTTGGGGAAAATGTTCGATAACCCCGTACGGGGAACCGACCTTAACAACGGGTTTTAACCATAGTCGGCGCGGGGGTAGCCTGGGGGACGTTTGGGGAACGCTTGGACAGTTATACCGTTTCCCCGTACGAATCCCGCACAAAGTTCCCCGTACAAAGTGTCTCAAATCCCAAGCGAACGCTCCGTTTTCCCCAAGAGAACGGTTGGGGTTTCCCCGAGCCTGCCCCAAGCTCGCCATAGGCCTTCCCCGTACGGGGAAAGCTCCGATTTGCTGGCTGGGTTATGAGTCCCACAACTTGTATATCTCGGATTTTTCCTAAAGGTCATATGAGGTCAGGTCATTTTCGTGACCTCACCATTATAAGTCAATGGGGAAAAATTCAAACTGCTATTCTGGCGCCGGGAACGATCTCCAACTATCTCAAGCACACAGAATCGTGATTTGATGCACTCCTTGCAAGGTTAGATGCGTCACTTTTGCAATGTTGACCTTGCGTGACGTCATTTATGACGTCATCAAGGTCATATTAGTTTTTCGTCAATAACTCTTGATCAAATTGAGCTAGCGAGTCGGGAAAGCCACCAATTAACTCAGGAAGACCTGCCGAATCGAATGATATGCGACATGACCTCTTTCGACCAACTTCGTGACCTGGGGGTGCTGACCTGACCTTGACCTGAGGTCAACACCCCAAGTTGACCTGACCCGGACAAAAAGTATATCATTCGACGCGCCTGAGCGAGACGAACACGATGCTGCCAAAATCGGCGCTCTGCGGCCGTTTTTTGCGAAGTTATTCACCAAAAACTGAACCGTACCTTGGGGCACTTGACCTGACCTCAGAGGTCACCGGTTGACCTAGGACCTTAAAATCGGGTACCAATCTCTGCGTCTCGTAACGGCGCACACGCTCGTTTTTTCCGCGACGCGCTAGCTCCACCAGGGGCGAAACGGCGAGGGGGGGGTCGTACCCGCCCCCCCCCCCCTCGGCCGGCGCGTATGTAGAAAACCAATAGGTCCGGCGAGGGTTAACCCGACCTGTGACCTCAAAATTCACATTTAAAGTACTCATCTGAAGCGTCTCGTCGCGTTCTTTCGTTTGCCACCTCGTGCGTTTCGCTGCGCCTATTGGTTCTCGAGTTATCGGCTGGGGGCGTTTAACGCCCCCCCCCCCCCAGCAAACGGTGGGTGGCGAAATACCCCAGCAACTGCCGGGCTAATAGTCAAATAAATTGGAAATATAATGAGTTAATTTTTGTAACAACACTAGAAAGTGTCGAACATGAATTAGAGATATATTTTAGCTGAGATGATACTATATCTGCGCATACATGTACATGAACTAGTACATTAACCCTCGTCGGCCGAGAAGGGGTGGGGCGGGTGCCGCCTAATAGGGCTTTTCGCGATAGCTTAAAACTCGCTTAGGGTAGACAGCTGAAACTTGGCATACCTAATCTTTTATTCAAGCTGGATCTTTTGACCTCAACTGCGTTTTCAGGTCAGGACAGGTCACTGACCTATGACGTCATAAATGAGCCTCTGCGAGGTCCTCAGATGTTGCAACTTTGCAACGCCCTCAGTGCCAGAGGAACTTTCACAGGAAGATGAAACTTACAGGACGTAGTATCCTTCAGAGGTCTCACAACTTGTATATCTCGGATTTAACCTAAATGTCACATGAGGTCAGGTCGGTCACGTGACCTCACCATTATAAGTCAATGGGGGAAATATGAAAACTATTATTTTGGCGCCGTAAATGATCTAAAACTGTCCCAAGCACATGAAATCGTGGTTGCATGTACTCTTTGTAAGGTCCGATCAAGAAACCACGATTTCATGTGCTTGGGATAGTTTTAGATCATTATCGGCGCCAAAATAACAGTTTTCGTATTTCCCCCATTGACTTATAATGGTGAGGTCACGTGACCGACCTGACCTCATGTGACATTTAGGTTAAATCCGAGATATACAAGTTGTGAGACCTCTGAAGGATACTACGTCCTGTAAGTTTCATCTTCCTGTGAAAGTTCCTCTGGCACTGAGGGCGTTGCAAAGTTGCAACATCTGAGGACCTCGCAGAGGCTCATTTATGACGTCATAGGTCAGTGACCTGACCTGACCTGAAAACGCAGTTGAGGTCAAAAGATCCAGCTTGAATAAAAGATTAGGTATGCCAAGTTTCAGCTGTCTACCCTAAGCGAGTTTTAAGCTATCGCGAAAAGCCCTATTAGGCGGCACCCGCCCAACCCCTTCTCGGCCGACGAGGGTTAATGTACTAGTTCATGTACATGTATGCGCAGATAGAGTATCATCTCAGCTAAACTATATCTGTAATTCATGTTCGACACATTCTAGTGTTGTTACAAAAATTAACTCATTATATTTCCAATTTATTTGACTATTAAGCCCGACGAATATTTATTTTTCAAAAAATAGGTGCTATCTCCAAAATGGAAATTTTTCAGATTTCGGGGACCACACCATCGGATTCCTCGCAAAATTTTGGTCCAGAAAACACTACAATTGGAAATTGGTATTTTCAAAAGTTATTTACCGTCTGTTGGGGCAATGTGCGGAGTGTAGACTACACTGTTGACTGCATAGCAGAGGTAGTACGGGCTGCCAAACGTCTGGAGAAGGTAAGGGGCGTGGTGCTATGCTCAGTGCCACAGGATCTGACTTCACCGGATGACTTTATGTCCAAACGACGCAGCGATCTGAATGACGAGATCGAGAGACTTTGTGACTGTGAGGGAATTCGCTGTTTGGACTTACGGCCTCGGCTCAGTGAGTGTGTGTATGAAGGACTAGACAAATCAAGGCTCAATTTGAACAGTAGTGGTTGCAGAAATGTGTGGCAAATTCTAGCAGGGGAAGTGGCCGGTTTTTTAGGCTGAATCGCCAATTCCATGTTGTTTCTGGTTCCAGTGAAGCATCATGCTATCTTGAAAATGCTAGTGAAATATTCCGTAATCGTACTCGATTTTCAAAATATGGGTTGGTTATTGGGCATCTTAATGTCCGCTCTTTAGTACCTTCAGTTGACATCATATCTGATTATGTAACTAATCACAAGATCGACATTTTGTGTCTCTCTGAGACATGGCTTAGAAGGGGCGAGCCAGACGTTCCTCTAGCTGGCCTTACTCTGGCTTGTCGGCACGAGCGGAGGGGAAAGAGGGGTGGTGGCGTAGCCATTTATTGTCGTAGCGACTTAGAATTTAGCAAAGTTGCTGGCTGCTCCATTCCTACCTCTAGTCGCCTTGAATGTGTATGGGTAAATGTTAACCTTCGCCCTAGTGGGGGGGGGGGCATATGTTACCACCCTGTCGCGTTTTTCGCGTGTGAATAAAAAACCGCGGCGCGTAGCGCCGCGCCGCTTGGGGTAGCTTTTGGTACATCAATTTTGGACAATGTGTGAAATTTTTGACCCCAGGTCATGTCAGGTCAGGTCACCAGGTCAAGTTAACTGACCAAGCCTTAAAAAAAGTTTGCAATCATGTCCAGCCTGCAGTGTTTGTTAAAAAGGTTTTAAACTTGGTGGATTGCATGCTGTTATGGGAGCCTACAATTTGTATATCTCGGATTTTTTATATCCGTGACGTAAGGTCAGGTCAGTGGCATGACCTTTCCATTACAAGTCAATGGAGAAAAATGAAAATGCCTCTAGATCCGTGTGTACGCATAGGAACAGTCCAAATATTTCAGAATCACAATGATTTAGTCCACTCGTGATGACCAAGGTGTCATTTTTGCTGATAGCCTCTAGAAAGGTCATCCGAGGTCATTTGAGGCTACAAACAGTTTTTTTGCCAATTACTCGCGATTGGAAAGAGATAGAACGCTGGGGATGGTCTCATTGTGTTTGTCTTGTTGAGACGCATCGACTGATATGCAACATGACCTTTTCCGGTCAGGTCATGACCTTGACCTGAGGTCAAATTTTTAAGTTGACCTTTCAAGGTCAAATTATAGTTCATTCGACGCGTCTCGGTGAGGGGAACACGATTCTGGCAATAGAAATGTCGTGGCTTTTTGTAGTCGAAAGTTATTGTCGAAAAACACTTTTCGTAAGAACAGCTATTTTTGGAGTTTTTGCCCTCTGGAGGCTAAACCGTTGACCTGAGGACAATATTGATAATGACTTTTTCAAAAGAAGAGTTTAAAAGCTATCGATTGCTCTTCCATGCGTTTTTCTAGCTACCATAGTTCCTGAGATAGCGGCATGTTTTCTGAAAAATATAATGACAATTGGCAAATTTTGACCTTTGAT